TAAAAAGCAGGAATGACAAATTATCCACTAGAGCGACTCCTAAAAAAAGCCTAGTTCTGAGTAACAATGACTTTAAAAAGTGAGCATTTACCCGCACTCCTGAAGACCAACTCTAGTGATCTTATAGTTCTAAAGTATATTTTTGAAAGATGAAATCATTGATAAAAATTTGAGCTGAAGCTGGAATTCAACAGACATGGTACACCGAAGCTTAAGAATTAAACCAAAACCAAAAACTTTTTGACTAAATATTTGGAGAGCTCTTTATGTAAAAGAATGGAAGAATCAGAGGACCTGGAATCAGGGCCCACCTAGGCCCTGAAGGGACTGAAGGACCACAGAACTAAGGGGGGGAAAAAAAAAATCAACCGATATTTACGCATTATTTACTTTATGCAAAATGCTGCATCGGAAGCGGTGGAGGACCCAGAAATGAACAGAGATGTCGCGTGGGGAGCGGTCAGCAAAGGGTCCTGCCGGGCTGTTTGATGAGCCCTGGGTCCCCTGACACCCCTGGTCTGCTCTCCAGGCCTTCAGAGCCTGCTTCCCAAGTGCAGGTCTGGCGAAGGAGAAACCCCGGCCTCTGGTGAGGTGCCCCAGGTCGTCCGTGTGCTCAGCCGCACAATCTTACCCGGCCCGAGCCCGAGGCAGTGGCCTCCTTGCGGCCCCGGAGCAGGCACCGCTGTTCATGCTTCCAGGCATCTCTTCTCCGCTGGGGCCTCCCTGCCCTCCAGATACTCAACCTAGAAGGTCTGGTTCAAACTTGTCCTGTGGAAATGCCTTGAAAGCTGTCACTTCCTTCCTCTCTTGGGCTCTCGTTGCACCTAGCTCGTGCATGTATCCAGTCAATACGTCTGTGCTGGGCTCGTAGGTGCCAGCTCTGTGCTGGCAGCTGGGGATGCAACAGGAACTAAACAGACTTGTCCTCTGCTGGTGGGGTTCACAGGCCCGAGGGACGACCTGGGTCCTCTGCCGGCGTGGTGCCCACGAGGATTTAGCTCCGTGTCTTCCCCCAGACGCCGCGGCGCCAGGGCAGGGACCACGCCCTACTGCTTTCATGTTTCCCCTGTCCTGCAGAGGGGTCTACACACAGTAGGTCCCCAGGAACTGCCTGCTGAATGGAAGGCCAGTTCTGGCAGGTAGGGAGGAATGATGCTGGGAAGCGCAGGACCGGTGTCCCACCTTCTCCACGCCCACCGGTCAGCCCGGTGACTCGCCCTTCCCCGGAACACCTCTCGCAAGGTCCTTCTGAAGCTGTTGCTCCTCTTCAGGTGTCCTCTTTACAGCTTTTGCTGGTCCAAAGACCCATCTCGCAAAGCTAGTCAGTGCCACCTGGGAGGGCCAGGCAATATGGGTGGCTGCCTACCTCAAGGTACCCCCAAATTGTCCTTTCTTTCATAAAATGCGTTCAACAGTTGCCCCAGACCAAAGGCTTTCTGGAATGCCCGCATCCAGGGCAGATGGGGACAATGGAGCCTTGAAACCCAAGGCTCCACACCTGCACCTGAGGACAAAAGAAATGCCTCTTCGACATTCAGACTGGCACCAATGGCCGGTCGTGAAAGGCTTCTCATCCCTGAGGGTGACAAGCACCCGTGGCCTGCGTCCCGGGGCCCAGAAGGTGGTGCTCCCATCCTAATCCTCAATTACTCTGTGGTTTGGATTCTGGCTTTTGTTGTTGGCAACAGTGGTGTCTCTGCTTCTTAGGGCTGCCCTTTGTGGTTTCAAATACAGCTGCTGAAAAAGAATCATCAGAGTCTGCAATAGCTAATGGGTAAAGGAACACTAGAATTGGCAGAGGAAAATCTCTAACAGTTCTGCAAGCTTCTATGAGTCAGTATTTTTCAAGGACATTTTTATACACTAACGTTTTGAAAGAAAACTTCAAGGGTTGAAGTGACCTTCATAAAGTCTCTCCAC